ATCACTTTTATAGTTTCTGTTTGTTGGTGTTAGTATTTAAGTGGTTGTCAACAATTTTTGCATACAACAATTATACATTTAATCCTGATAAAATTCAGTGAGGTAATTATATATATATACACATACATACACACACATTCATATGCAGTTATTATTATTGTCACTTAAGCAAAGATAACATAGACTGGCAGCAGTTAATTGACTGCCAAATACAATAAAGCTGGAATTCCAGCCTGCTTCTCTGACCCCAAATCCTGAGTTCTTCAAAATTCTTGGTGCTGCCTATTTTACAGCATATCAAGGTTTCACTACAATACAAAGTAACCCACTCAATGACCTTTCTCCTCAGTTTTCTTTTTCACACTAAATATACCATAAATATAAAGCCCGTTCCTGCCATATCCTCTAGTAACCTTAGTCATATTGCTTTGAGCCAATGACTTAACTAATTCTGCTTTCAGGGCTCAGCTATGGAATACGTTTCATCCATGTGGCTGGTTCATATTTCTGCTATTCATTTTTCCGAAATCACTAAGTGTCCTCTTTGGTCGTTTCAGGTTTGGAGGAAAAAAAAAAAAAAAAAACAAGCAAGAATATCACTTGGAGTGTGATCTAGTAGTAAATTATGTTTCATAATGGGCAACAATTATGAAATAAATCTGATTTTTTTAAATTTAAGATTTTGAGCTAATAAATCTTAAATTATATGCCTGCAGAGTACAGGAGCAAGGTGGTTGGCCATACAAATGTGTTGCAAATACAGAGAAAAAGCTAAGTTAATTTTTTCGAATTATGTCAGTCTTGAGGTCTTTTTCCTTAATTTCTTTCTGATAATGTTAGCTACTCTCATGTGCAAACAGAAAAAAACTGATTGCACATAATGTAAGTAAGCAGACATCAACAACAACTACAAAAACAAAAGCAGTGACAGTTTGGTTGAAAAGCTGTCTGCTACCTTCTCTCTAGTGCCCATCATAATAAGATGACTTTTATATACCATGCGGTCATGAAATCACATTTTCTGATAGCAAATACTTTCTCATTTTACATGATGAAATTAAATATATGATAAAACCATCATATCACAGAATTCTATAAAGAGACTCTGACTTCCAGGAGTGTTATCACATAAATGGGTTTGTGATCCACTGAACTAGATATTAAATATCTATCACAGTGGCGGTGGTTTATAGGTTTATAGTATGCAATATGCTTTTTGAAAGCAGGACTTTCCAAGAAAGTCAGATATGATCATCCCTATATGTATAAATTGAGGGTGAAAATGTAAATATACCCAGAAGACTTTCATTATGACAAAACTTTATGGGAAAAAAAGAAAAATTCTTGAGAAAGTTTATCCTCTTCCTCTGCCGCCTCTTCTTCCTCTTCCTCCTCCTCTCTCTCTCTCTCTCTCTCTCTCTCTCTCTCTCTCTCGCTCTCGCTCCTTCCCTCCCTCCCTCCCTCCCCTTCTCCCTCCCTCCCCTTCTCCCTCCCTTCTCCCTCTCCTTCTCTCTCTCCTTCTCCTTGTTCTTTGTGTAGGAGTCCGAAGCATTTAGCATCATCCCTGGGCATATAGTGGATGTTCACAGAAATGTGTATACACAATCTGCTATTCAAGGAGGAGTTTTTCAGTCTGTATTCTGTTTCAAGCCCTGTGCGATTTGTCACTGTAATCTCAAATAGCTTTTTTTATGTAGGGTAGTGTATGAATGTTGGGCAAACATTAAGTGTAAGTGCACAGGGTTCAAGCACTGTGAGAGATACACCTATTATACCATCGTGTACAAGTATGGAAGAGAAAATGATGAGAAATGATTAAGCCTGATGGCTCTAAGAGTAACAGACAGAGAACTCAGGCAAGTTGGAAGAATGGGAGCTACCAGCCGAAAAGTCAGATTAAGGGTATTGTAATATCTAAGGTAAAGTATGATAAGCCATGTGAACAGAATCAGTGAAAGTCAGCTTGAACAAGCAAAGGGAAACTTAAATCAGTTTTAGATGGCAAAAGTAACAAACTTTCTGCCAGATAAAATAAGGGTCAGTCAATGGAAAAGGGTATTTTAGTATAACTTCATAAATAAAGGAGTCTTTAGAAAAGAAGTTTGTGGAAAGAAGAGCTGGGTTTGAAAGCACTGAATTTGAGGGGCTTGAGAGATACACAGGTAGATCTATCTAATCAGAAATGACTTTGTACTAAGTAACTAGCAATGGTGGGGCTGTAGGGTCAATCCTTCCACTTGCCTTCTTCCCCCATCCTCTTTTCAAGTTAGGCTTTCTTAGATCAACCACGTTGCTGGAAAGAGATATAAATTCTTCCTCTCTAGCCCCAGACTGTGATGTGATCTTCAGCAATTAAACACGTTAAGATCAGCTTAAAAAGAGTGGCTGCAGTCCTGTCCCCAGTTTTTTGGGGGCTATCCTGATTTAACAGGGTTGTCCCAGAGTAATTATTAACAGCACCCCTTTTCTCTCAAAAAAAAAAAAAAAAAAAAGAAAATGTCCTGGATTGATTACCTTTACCATTATTGTCTTCATTATCATCATCATCATCATCTTAGTCATATAGATGGTGTTTATTTACTTTGCATGATTTCTAACAGCTTTAAATAATGTTTGCTGCATTATCTGTTTCGATCCTCACGACACCTCAGTGGGCAGGTGGGGACAGAAGTTGTCCCCATTTTAAAATAAGGACACTGATGTTTCAGTCCCTGCACAGCTGCACAGTCACACAGCTTTTTGGTAAGGCAGAATGTGAATTAGTGTGTTTTGGGCAGAAGATTGTGAGCTTTTTTCACTATACATTCATTTATTAACTTGACATTCTCATAGCCTTTTGATTGGATGATCTCATGGGGTAAAAATCCAAAAACTCATGATCAGTGGGAAGTTACAGATGATGCAAGGCAAATTTTAATGGGAACATTTTAAGAGACACTTGGTTCACAAATTCACATTTTCGTGCCAGATGTTTCCTCTTGCCTACCAAGCTCTTCTCCTCCTTATCGGCTTGAGGCTGAAGTCAGCAGCTTTGCTTCACCTCTTCTGCCTAGGCAGGGTAATAGGAAATTCTTTTAAAAAATGTATCCTCAGGAGGCATCATATTTAAAAGGAAATCCTTTGAAAGTGAACACATTTTCTAGCAAAGAAACAAAACTTTGACCTGGCACTGAAAACTATTATCACACATGTGAATATTTCCTTTTTGGTTTGCAGAACATAACTATCAACTTTTCCTCATTTAATTTTCACCAACTAAAATAGGGGTTAGTAACAGCAAGTATGAGGGGACCTAGTGCTCTCCTGAGTCTTTCAGATGCTGAAAAGCACATTTCCCCCATGACAACACCAGGTTCTCTAAGATGAAATTATATTCTCAAATTCTCAAATTGTATGGTTTCTTTTAAGAAACCATTTCATACAATTTTAAGGGAAAGTACATCTGGCTCGACCTGGAGAAGTCTTTGAGTTTCATTACAAGTTGAACCAGGAAACTCTGAGATCAACCCTTACCTCCAAAGAACAAAACGTTGTTTGACCTTGAACAAAATATTTCCTTTCACTGAGTCTCAGTTTCCTTATCAAAGACTCAACAGTAATTATCTGAGAAGGACCAGATTGTAGGTATGTTGTTTGCTGGACATACCTTCTTGGTTACAGAATTATACCCAGCTCAGCCATTATAACTCAAAAGCAGCCATAAGCCATATGTAAGTGAATGAGGGTGGCCATAATCTAATAAAACTTTATTTATAAAAATAGATGGCAGACTGGGTTTGGTCTTTGGACCACAGTTTGCTGTTTGCCAACCGTCTTTAAGGGGAAGATATCTGCTGCACAAAGTTGTTCTAAGAATGTTATTGACTAAAATATGTGAACCAAGATATATGAAGTACCTGATAGAAGGTCTGATGTTTAAAATGACAACTCATTTCTTAACTTTTCTCTCAACATTTTTCTCCCACTTTACCCCAATTCTCCTTGAATGAACATTGAGATCCTCTACAAAATGGAATGCATTAGCTGACATTTCATATCTGTAGCAATTCTTCCTTTGTTTCCTTGTTATTTAAACACTTTGGGAGGCAAAGGTAGAGAACTGAGAATATTAAGTTTTTAAACCTTGAAGCTTTGAACAAATTTGAGCTCTATTCAATGTGTGTGTGTGTGTGTGTGTGTGTGTGTGTGTGTGTGTGTGTCTGTGTTTAACTTTCATTTCTTTTAAAACGGAACTTAAAACAGCCCTTTTAGCGAAATTCACAACATACATATAAAGAAGCCTGTGATTTAGGCCAAAGATCCAGTTAACAGCTGTGGGTCTTTGTTTAAATAACAATAATAATGAGGAATCCGCCTCGCAGGCATTTATTATTTTAAGCTTGACCTCGTGTGCTTGCATTTTATGTCTGTCCCTGCCAGCCTACACAAGTGAGTTTCTAGAATAGTCCCTTCATTTTTCTGAACCGGTGTATTGTCTTTAGAGTTTGCCCTCTTGACTTCAGTTTTTCAATTGCTTTCTTTTCAAATTATCTTACACACCTCTTTTTTTCCCTCAAGTATCTTTAGAGTATTAATGCAAAAGACAAGTTACTCAGAAGCACTAAAATATAGTAGATTGAGGTTAAAACACACTGAGTTTGCAGTCAACTCAGTACCAATTCCAGGCCTGATTGTATTACTGATTACCTACATGTCCTTGAATGAAACACTTTGCCAGGATGAGTCTTAGACTTCTCATCTATGAAATTGAGATGAAAATTGTTATTCTTCCTGCCACCCTACATTTCCTGTGTGAATAAAATGAACACCAGCTATGAACACAAAACACTACTAAATTTCTCATTTTTTCCCCTCATAATTATTGCTAAAATCACCAAAAAGCTGTAATTTAAATAACCGTTAGTATGGACCCAGAACTATACTAATCATTGTGTATAAATTAACTTAGCTAAAAGTCATACCTAATGTATCAGGTGAATATTTTTCCTCCCATCTTACAGAGGAAAAATCTCAGAAGTCTAATGGTGAAGAGATATGGCCGAGTCTCACTGTGACTAAATGAACTGGAGATGAATCTCTGAAATATTAGACTCCAAAGTTCTTCATCTTCATCAAAATGGAACTTAAACTGGATGTAAAACTTAACTTTTTTAATTGCCTCTTACAATATTTTAAAGTTGAAATTTAAAAATAATTATGTAAAAGGTATGTTTTCTCTTTGACATTTTTATTCTAAAAAATTAAGCACTAACATTATTTACAAAGAAATGTTTTCTCCTCTTGCAGTCTTTTAAATTTTATTCTTAGTTTTTATTGGATATTTACAAATAATTGAATATTAAGTACAAAGTGATGTATGATATATGTATACAATTAGGAAAGATTAAATCAAACTAATTAACATACCTGTCACCTCAAATACTTATCATTTATTTTTCCGATCTAACTATTGTACCCTTTGACCAACAGCTCCTCATTTCCACTACTCTCTAGTCTCAAGTAACTATCATTCTGCTGTCTGCTTGTATGTGTTTGATTTTTTTAGGTTCTACATATAAGTGAGAATATGTGGTGTCTTTCTGTGTCTGGCTTATTTCACTTAGCATAATGCCTTCCAAGTTCATCCATGTTGTCACAAATGACATAATTTCTCTCTTATTAAAGGCAGAATAGGATTCTGTTGTGTATATATGCCATATTTTCTTTAACCATTCATTGGTTGATAGACACCATCATCTGGGATCATGAATAATGCTGCAATAAATATGGGATTGCAGGTATCTCTTCGATAAGCCAATTTCAAATTCTTTGGATATATATTCAGAAGGGGAACTGCTAGAACATAAGGGAACTCTATTCTTAGTGTTTTAAGGAACCTCCATACTCTTTTGCATTACGGTTTTACTATCTTATATTCCCACCAAACAGTGTACTAGGGTTTCCTTTTCCTTCACATTCTTGCCAACACTTGTTATCTTTCAGCTTTTTGCTAGTAGCCATTCTGACAATTGTGAGGTGGTAGGTTTAATTTGCGTCTTTCTAATATTTCGTGATGTTGAGCATTTTTTTTTTTTTTTTTACATTTCCATTGGCTATTTTCATATCTGTTTTTTGAGAAATGGTTACTCAGGTATTTTGCCATTTTAAAAATCAGGTTATTTGTTTTTTTTACTATTGAGTTGTTTGAGTTTCTAATATATTTTGTATATTAACCTCTAATTAGATGTATGGCTTACAAATAGTTTCTCCCATTCTGTAGGTTGCCTCTTCACTCTGTTAATTGTTTACTTTGCTGTGCAGATGTTTTTTAGTTTTAAGTAAACTTATCCCTTTTGTTTTTGTTGTCTGAATTTTAGGGCTCAATTCTAAAAAATCATTGCTAGACCAACATTGTATAGCTTTTCCCCTGTTTTCTTCTACTTGTTTTATAGTTTTATATCTTATGTTTAAGTTTTAATTATTTTGAGTTGAATTTTGTATATGGTATCAGAAAAAGTTCAATTTCATTCTATGTAAATAACTAATCTTCCCAACAGCCTTTTTAAAAGACCATGTCTTTCTTATTGTGTACTGTTGGAACCTTGGTTAAAAGTCAATTGGCCATAAACATATGGGTTCATTTTTGAGCTTTCTATTCTCTTCCATTGATCAATGTGTCTATTTGCATGAAGTATCCTTTTTTATGGCTTCATCTTCAATCAATGTATGTCCTTAAACAAGAGGTGAGTTTCCTGTAGACAGCATATAGTTGAGTATTTGGTCTTTTTTATTAAGAAAAGACTTTAAAAAATAAGATTAAAAAATTTTAAAACATGAACAACTGTATTCCAGTTAAGTGAAATACCAAACTAAAAAACAAACAAAACAAATTAATTTTAGAAGAAATATAGGACCTAAAAGAATTTAAATATTAATAGCAAGTTCTGATGCTTTCATAAAACTTCAAAAACTAGGTAATCTTTATCATGTAAAACCATTTTAGGTTAATAGAGACAGAATAAAATTTCCAACTCATTTTAGTTATTAAAACCAAAACAGAATAAGTGACACATGGAAATGGAAATTATGGGCAAAATTCATTCATATGTAGGAAAAAAATATTAGAAATTTCTAAATACACCAAATATGGGGTGACATGTATTACAAGGACATATATATGGTCAAGATCATAAAATATGTTAATTAATTATATCACATTAGGTATTAAAGAGTAAGTCATTTTATAGGTGCAAGTAACATACTAAGAAAATCTATACTCCTTGGTGTTTTCAAAAATTCACACAACAAACTAATAGCAGAAAGATAAACAGTCTAAATTTAATGATGATAATTATTTAAAAATCAAAAGTAAACACATATATTTTGATGCTTAGAAGCACTGTACTTTATTTCCAGCCAAAAACGAGAACAAAAATTAAAAATGTACTACCACAAATATATTCAATGTTATATTTGAGTTGCTATGTAATAAAATGAGTTAAAATGTAAAAAAGTACATAGGAAACAAAAAGAAAGCAACAAAGTTATTCTTATTTGTAGACAGTTTATTTTATCCAAAGAGAGGTCCTCCTGAGTGGGCCTGGCTTAATCAGGTGAAAGTCCTTCAAGAGATACCTAGACCTTCCTGTGGAGAGTCTTTATACATTGGTGGCTTTGGAAGAGTAAGATTTCCTGAGGTAGAGATCATATCAAGAGGGCCACATGGCAAGGAACTATAGCCACTCTCTAGAAGCTGAAAGTGGCCCCTTGTGTCATGTCAACAGCCAGCAGGGAGCTGAGGCCCACAGTCATTTTAGTCACAAGCAATTAATTCTACCAACAAACCGAATGAGCTTGGAACTGGCTGTGAAAACTCGGCCCCGGCCGGGCGCGGTGGCTCAAGCCTGTAATCCCAGCACTTTGGGAGGCCGAGACGGGCGGATCACGAGGTAGGAGATCGAGACATCCTGGTTAACACGGTGAAACCCGTCTCTACTAAAAATACAAAAACTAGCTGGGCGAGTGGCGGGCGCCTGTGGTCCAGCTCGGGAGGCTGAGGAGGAGAATGGCGTAACCGGGAGGCGGAGCTGCAGTGAGCTGAGATCCGGCCACTGCACTCCAGCCTGGGCGACAGAGCCAGACTCAGTCTCAAAAAAAAAAAAAAAAGAAAAAAAAGAAAACTCGGCCCCAGACAACATCTTACTTGAGGAAGACCAGTGAGATACTGAAGCAGAGGACCCAGCTAGACATCCCAGAAATTCTGACACAGGGAAATTTAGAGATGATAAGGAGTTGTGCTGCTTTAAGCATTTATTTATGTGCTAATTTGTTGTGTAGCGATGGGAAAATGATACAAAGGACAGTACATTCATAGTCACAGGGAAAAATAGGAAAGAGTGCAAGAAATGGGTTAAATTTGATGTTTGGTGGTTGCTAGTGCAGGGAGCTTCCTAGCACTTCAAGGATTGAAATGGTCTTGTTTTGGGGAACACTACTGAAAGTTCCAGGAAAGCCTGGCGTAGGTGGAAGGTGAGCAAAGGGGAGAATAACTGCCTTTTTCAAAAGTTTGTGGTTGTTATCAGAGTTAGAGCTTAAACCAGAATCTTCTGACCTCTTAATGAGTTTTAATACACTTTGATGCTCCACTAGAAAATCATAAGTATTTAAATGGAAATGTACATACATACGTAGATGATACTGCAAATGCATCCATTAAAAAATTCATTTATAAGTATTCCATATACCCAGATAATCACACAAAGTGTTTGTTCTTTCTTTGAAACATGGGAATATCTGTCTACATTTTTTACTTGATTCTTTCTTTGTAGAGATACAAATAAAGACTCCATAAGTTGAATTACCACATGTAAAGACGTTAGAGTTTACTTGAAATTAAATGAATATACCTTATCCTTTAAGATATATTGTTAGCAATGGCCTTTCTCACCCTTCAATTGATTAATAAATTGTACTTACTGCTACTGCGTAAGGGGACCAGGGCACTGAGTTGACAGGGAAATCCATCTTTAGACATGAGAACACTTTGGCTTTTGAGTTACTGTTAAACTTTTTTTATTTTTTAGTGCACAGTTTGACAATGCATTCTGTTGCTTTCCCTGATCGTTCAAAAGTTCTTTTGTAAAGTGCAGGCACATTCTAAATATTGGCCTGTAATGATTCTATTATTATCCAAGTAGACTGCCTCTTCACTCTCGGAAAAGGTGTGCACATTAGAAGAAACATGTCAAAGGAAAACTTGGGTTAGTCTAAGGACTCCTCTTCTGTTTCCTAAAGGTACAGTTTAGTGCTTGTTTAGTTTTGATAAACTGGAACGGCTGTATATTGATTCTCTCCTTTTTAATCTCTGTGAGGAACAAGTAAACACAGATGTTCTACAGGACATGTTTCCATAGGACATGTTTCCATAGGATGTTCTATAGGACATGTCCTGTTTATGAAGGACACCTTACAAACTGGAGGGTAAAAGCAGAATGGAGAGGCTACATAGATACTATGCTGAGGATTCAGTGGGCAGAAATTAAGTCCACTTGTTCTTCCAAGGTCTTAGCTGTAAATAAACTAGAGTCCCTTCAGAAGAGGATAAAGGGCCGATAAGCAAAGCCCTGTTTAGAATCCCATACTTGTGTTCACTTTCATTCTCTATAATCATTTCAGGGATTCTTTGGATCACTCTCTCTTAGAAACTGACAGCTTCTTACCCTGGTTGATGAGTTGTAAGGGCTTTGGTATTAGATTCAGCAAAAACAGAAAAGGAACAGCTGGAAAGGGACAAAATGAAACTAGGTATCACTTTGAAAAATGGGTATTCTGAAACCCTATTTTTAACAAGATGATGCTGAAAGCAGCAAAATTAAGTAAACTGAGGAAAGCCACCACCTAGATTATTGAAGAAGAGCTCTTTCCAAAATGGGATAAGTTAGCTGTATCCCAACTATCCTACATAGCTATCCAGGCTAACTCCAGAGAAAATGAGGCCAGGTGCAGTAGCTCACACCTGTAATCCCAGCACTTTGGGAGTTTGAGGCGGGTGGATCACGAGGTCAGGAGTTTGAGACTAGCCCGACCAACATGCTGAAACGCTGTCTGTACTAAAAATACAAAAAAAATTTAGCTGGGTGTGGTGGCACGTGCCTATAATCCCAGCTACTTGGGAGGCTGAGGCAGTAGAATCACTTGAACCTGGGAGGCAGAGGTTTCAGTGAGCAGAGATTGAGCCACTGCACTCCAGCCTAGGTGACAGAGGGAGACTCCGTCTCAAAAAAAAAAAAAAAAAAAAGAAAAGAAAATGTGGCTTAAATATTCATATTCAAAAAGTGCATATAGTTAGCAATATGACAATTAGCAATATCCTTTTGATTTGAAATACAATTTCTAGTTGATTCTGCTCTCTTGATAGGTAGACTCTCAATTAACTATTCTGGCACCTGATTATGGGCTGCTTTGCATGCAAAGGAGGAATTCAGTGAATCTGGACAGAAAAGGTCCACTACATGAACTTGTTCACCAGTAAATACTACTCATTGTTTGGTTTCACTCAGAAATGGTCCACATACATACATTACGGTAACATATATAAGAAGGATACACAAGTTGGAAGACAATATTGTGCATACTCTATGTGTATCAAATAAAGATGTCTTCAAATGTGTTCTTTCTCTTAAGGAGAGTGTTCACATTTAACTCATTGCATTGTCAAAAGCCTAGAATTTTGTTGAAATTTAGTTGTAACTAAAAAATGTCATTCCCTTTCCTCATTTCCACCTCCCCTAAAACTACATAACTGATTTCAAAATGAGCATTATGGATTCAAAGAAGGACCAAATTGGTTTAATAACAGAAATGTAATCCCACAATAGAACTTGACATAATAATTATTTTCTATGCCACTCTAATTCCATTCCCAGATGCTATATTGTCTGATAATCTTTGGAGGTTTTCAAATTTTAATTTCTGTACTTTTTGAATCTTCATCAACTGCCGTTTCAATTTTTTGATAACTAGTAAAAGTCCTCTGATTTCTGGCCTTATCTAAATGCCCTTTGTTGTGGTGGTATCATCTGAAATCTTCACTACAAGTATTTAACACTTCCGTCCATCACAGCATGCATTGCTGGACACAAATTACGAATCATTAAGCAAGTAATTGTGCTCTTAGACAGATGTCACTCTTGACATTTGTTCTGAGTCCCTTAGACACATCTCCACTTAAAATGCTAAATCTCAATAATCTCCTACTTTCTTAAAAGATGAATAATATACAAATATATAAAAACAGATGTGCAAGGGAAATTCAGTTACAAAACATGTTTATTTTAACATAGTAGTCCTTCTTGTGCCATTGGTATAGATAGATTCTCTGAAATGTGAAATTAGATTCACATGATAATGTTCATGTGAATATTTGGCATCTGCATATTTTTCCAGTTAAATAAATAATCTTAGAGCACTAATTTACTCTAATGACATAGACGACATTTGGCTTCATAGAAAACAGAAAACCAATCTAAAGTCCATTTCCTATTTATGGGGTGTATACAACATTCAGGTGTAACATTCACTGAAGTTTAAAAAATGAGTTCAAGCAAATTTAAAGCACGAGGACACTGGCACAAGAACTCTTTGCCACGAATGGTAATTTTAATTGAATTACAGATGTTATCCATATGCATTTTCTATCAATATTTTAAAAAACACTCAGTCTTGCCTTTCTCTTCTGTAAGACTTCTACATCTTATTGGTATTCGACCATCGCCTAAACCAAACCTTCTTGCAATTATTTGTTTACAGTCTTTCTCTCCCACTAGACATATGTTGAGTACATACCACGCATGTTTCTATAGCTGCAAAATGTAGTCCGATGACTCTCCAGAATGATGTGAATAATATCTATTTGTTAAATTAATTAGATTACTTCTGCTTTTATAAAGCTCCATGTTACCTCATTTCCCCGCAACACCAATGCTCCTCTGTATTCCTTTGTCTGTAGATTTCCAAAAAATTCAATTTAGTCACCACAAAGATAGGATTTGATTATATAATATACATTGTTCTTTGGCTCTTTTATTAATTATGTAATTTATTGATCCATTCATTCACTCATGTATTAATTGACTTAATAATCAAGTAGTTCAGTTTTTTTTTTTTGTTTTTTAAGGATGGGTAATACATCTAAAATAGAATTTTTTACTTCCCCCAAATTTCTAGTCCAGTGCTAAATATAACACTAGTTGTGTATCCTTGAGCACATTACTTAACATCTCTGCCACAGTTTCCACTGTTATTAAGTGGAAATGCAATAGTATGTTGTATTGGAAGTGAAGATTAAATTAATTATATAGGAAAGTGTAGCCATGGAACAAATACTATATAACTGTTTGTTGTTGTTGCATTATTAGCTGACTAATAAATCCATACCAAGTTGCTTGATAAACACAGCTTATTCCTGGAGAGCAAAGATTTTAAGAGTAGTAAATTAGGATTTTTTTTTTCTAATTTCTACAGTTCATAGAGTCATTGCTTCTTTATGATTAAAAAATTCAAAAGACAAACATAAAGCTGTATAAAACATAGTGATATATTAAAACAAAATTATGAGTAATAAACGAATCAATCAACCAAGTTACCAAGTTACCTATCTTTTAAAAATATACAGCAAGTTATGAATATACTGGAATGTTTTATTCTGAAACATATAACCATTTTTCAACTTCTAATGTGGAAAAAAAAAATGGCCAATGCAGTCTGACTGGTGCATGCTTGTTTCAATTCTGCTTAGCTCAAGTTCAGAACTCATCATCACAAGTGGTTTTAAATACTTTTAAATTGTTCTTCTAAGATAAGCAAAGCTAATTTACAAAGTTTCAGATTTTTTTATCTGAGCCACAAAAATACTCTTAAGTTGTTCTCTGTTCATTTATCTATATTTTTGAACTAATTTATTTCCTATTTTTAACAAATCTAGCTAGGACATAGTTGGCAAAGTATAGAGCTGGGAGTGAGTTGAAAGGCTCCTTGTATCTTACATCTGCACTGTTCTCACTGTGTTCACCTTGAGCAGGTCATTTGACTTCTAATCTTAGGATCCTCATTTGAAATGGGGATATGCAGAAAAATAGAAACTGTGGAGTGACTCGCACAGTACAGTAGTTGCTCTGTGAAGGCTATTTCCATCGTCCCCAAGCTTTCTCCTTGGAGCTATAATTTAGTTTTTCAAAATAGAACAACGTGATTTTTTTGTTACTTCTATTGGAAATCCCAGCCTTTCTTTTTCCAGAGAAGCTTAGTAATTGGCGTCATTGGCAGCCAAGTGTTATTAAAAATTTATATTTGGAAATCGTGCAGGGTCCTTGAAAAACATCTGATCCATGTTCCTTCTCAGAATATAATCATCACTGCAACAGCCCTGAATTCTGATTATTCACATCGTCCTTGAACATCTCCATTTTCCAGGAACTCCCTCTGTCCATAGATGTTGCATTGTAATTCTGTCCATCTCTGCTAAGATCTAAAATTCATTTTCCTGCTTTCTCTCCATTGACATCTCCCTAACTCCTTGAGTAACCACATAACAAGTCTGACCTCTCTTCTTAGCCCACCTCAGCTGTGTCATCCAGCTTCCTCGCTCTCCTTTTTCCATATTTAATCTCTCAGAGAATGTTCCTTGTTCTGAGGTTTGGAGTAAGTTATTTACTATCTTTGGGTGCTCTGTTTATTTAGCTAAGGGCACAGATAATATCTACTTTTCTTGGTTGTGAGAGACAAATAAAATTATATGTACTATTCAAAAAGCATTTATTAAGCCCCAGGTATATGCCAGGCCTTAGTCTAGAACATGGAGATGTAACAGTGAACACAATAAACAAACGTTTCTCATGAACTTTCTTCCGTGTGGAGGAGGCAGACAGTACACAACCTATCATTAGCATAGTAAACAAGCAACATAGATAATAGGTTTGTAGGTAGTGATAAACGATAACATAGAGTAGCAGGACACATGTGATATTGGGGTAAGAGGTAGTAAATTTAGGAAAGGTAGACAGGGAAGACTTTTGAGAAAGGTAACATTTGAAGAGACCTGGAGGGCCAAAGGAAAGAGTTAGATGTATTTGGGAATGACACCATTCCAGACAGTTGGAACAGCAAGTATGGGGGCCTTGAAATGGGACCTTGACATCATTTCTGTCATGAAATATGAATCAATAAACTTAACATTTATTTTTCTACAGCAATGTTTAATTTAACCTAATAGTCTCTGAACATTCCTTTTTTTTTTTAAGAAAAATCTTATATTTTCTCCCCACAGCAGTACACATAGGGAGACTGGTAGTGACATTATCATAAGAACAACAATACACCTATTTAGAATTTAATTTTACAGTACTCATAAGCATTAGTTTGCTTTCCCAGACTCATTAAGTTATGGGAACATTGGCCACCCAAATGCTTTTTGCAATCAACATTTTTGGATATGTATTTAGCTTTCAGAGACAATCACAATGATATTTCATCTGCAAATATCTTGTGTCTTCTAGTGTGATAGAAAAGAAACAAACATCTACTGTGTTTCGTTTGGAAGGCACACATGTCGGATGTGGTTGAAGCTTGTCCATGGAACATGAAATTTCAAATTGTAAACATACCCCCAAGAAAATATTAAGGACAAATGCATAACTAAACGTTAGTGAATACTGTTGTTTATTTCCTCTCCCTTTCCTTCCTATTTTCCATAAACGTTTTAAAGATTAACATTTTAATATTTTATCAAAGGGTTCACGATTATTTGACATTGTCTGATAAGATGTGTCTAAGCAAGAAATATGTTTGTTATATATATATATATATAGTATGCACACATACATATTTATCATGGGTGATGTATCACACGGAGGCCAAATTGTGCTCTCTTTTCTAGGAAGGGACACTTTTCCCTAAAATTTAGCCAGTATGCTGCATGTAGACCAACAATGCAGCTAGAAAAAGTCTCACTTACTCTCAAGAGAAAGGGGCGGGGGAGCAAGACTATTGTCAATCAAACCACACCTGTGAAATCTGCCTACTTGGGCTTACATTACAATGACCCATTGGACATAAAGGGTACCTTTTACCATACTTGTTTTTTAGGATTTTATTATTTCTGAGCCACAATCTGTTGTTGTTTTTATACTACAGAATGTTGAATTAGGATTAAGATATCATTACATAAATTCAGAGTTGCAGATAATCACGTAAAATATAAACTGAGAGCAGAAAATATTCAGATAAAAATCTTACTCTGGGTATTGTGGAAATGACTGTATGTCTGATTATTTGCTGTCAGTTTCATTGAACTGTAACATTAGTGTGCAACTCTGCTTAACATTTCCTTAAAACTTATTTCCTTTTTTTTTTTTTATTTTTTCAGAAATCTCCAAGTGAGAAGACCTTACCTGTCTTCCGAAAGCCTGGTAACTTTCACCTGCACATAATGCTACCTACATGATTTCGTTTTCCTTCTTTCCACCTTTCCCTTCACTCCCCTCCCCTCCCCTCCCCTCTCCTCCCCTTCCCTTCCCTTCCATTCTTTCCTCATCTTTATTGAGGAATAATCGATAACAAACAAAACACTTTGCACATGTTTAATTTGTACAGTTTGATGAGTTTGGACATGCCCATGCATCTATGATATTATTCGTGTAATCAAGGTAGAAGTGCATTCATCACCACCAAAAATTTTCTTATGTCTCTTTTGTGTGTGAGTGTGTGTGTGTGTGGTAAGAATGGTTAACATCTGATCTACTCTTTTAACAAATTTTTAAATAATACAGTACTGTTAACTATAGGCACTATGTTGTACAGAAAATCTGCAAAACTGATTCATTTTGCATAAATTGAAACTTTATACCTTTGAATAACAACTCCTCCTTCCCCTAACCCAGACCCTGGCAACTACCACTCTCTTCTCTGATTTTCTGGGTTTGAAAATTGTAGATACCTCATGTAAGTAGAATCCTACAGTATTGGCCTTTCTGAGACTGGCTATTTCATTTAGAATGGTGTCTTCCAGCTGTATTCATGCTGTAACAAATGTATAATTCATTTCTTTTTAACAGCTGAGTAATATTTCTTTGTTTCTATATCTTGACTGTTGTGAATAGTGCTGCAATGAACATGGGCATTCTAATAGTTCTTTGAGATTCTTATTTCAATCATTTATTGACTGTGTGTGTGTGTATGTATGTATGTATACACAAAGACACAGAAAATGAATTGCTGGACCATATGATAGTTTTATTTTTAATATTTGGAGAAACCTTCCTACTGTTTTCCAAAATGGCTCTACCAGTCAGCATTCTCACCAATAGTACTAAAATGTTTAAATTCTTTTCATATCTTCGCCAATACATTGTCTTTTTATATATGTAATAGCCATCCTGATGGGCGTGAAGTAATATCTCATTGTGCTTTCACTTTGCATTTGCCTAATTAGTGATGTTGAGAAATTTTTTACATACTTGTTTGCCATTGTTATGTCTTCTTTTGAGAAATACCTATTTAGATCCCCTGTTCAGTTTTTTTTGTAATCAGGTTGTTTTCTTGCTATTGAGTTCTCTGAGTTTCTAATATATTTTGGATACTAATCCCTTATCAGATGTGTGGCTTGCAAATTTTGTTTTCTATTCTACAGGTTGCTTCTTTACTCTATTACTTATTTACTTGGCTGTGGAGAAGCTTTTTAGTTTGATGAATTTCCATTTGTCTATTTTTGTTTTTTGTTGGCTGAGCTTTTGGGTTCAATTCCAAAAAAGCATTGCCCAGACCAATGTCGTATAGTTTTTTCCCTATTGTTTTTTCAGTAGTTTTATAATTTCAGGTCTGACATTTGTCTTTAATCCATTTTAAGTAGACTCTTGTGTATAGCGTATGTGAAGGGTCCAAATCCATTCTCTTGTATGGGGGTACCTAGTTTTTCCAAAACAATTTGTCGAAAATATTCTCCTTTCCCTATTTTGTCTTTTTGGCATCCTTACTGGTGATCAGGTTACTGTATATATAATGCATAAATTTATTTCTGGGCTTCAAAGACTCATTGATCATGTTTAACAGATTTACAGCATGCATCCCAAAATGTTTTATTATATATTTTTTCACTTTTGTAAGTTATATATAGGTACCGTACATTATATATAACATTAGATAAAAGTAAATCAAAATAGAAATAACAAGAATAAGAGAACAAATATACAAATATTGTAAATATAGAATATATTCTAAACTCATAAATATCTTCTTCTACAGTCTGAATAACAAATTGTAGCTCAGTTCTTGTAGCTAAATTGTTATTTTACTACATTTATATTTTTCTACCTTTTCCTTTTTAAAGCCATCTTTACACATTTTTTCTTTCCCTAAGTTTTTCAAGATTAATCTTCTGAAGTGGGCAAACTGGAATTATATCAGGGACTCCCCAGGGTAAAATTTGATTCTCAAATCTTCACTCTTTTCCCCCTGAAATATAAAACATGACAGTATATACAAAAGGAGTCTTGCTTTCAAATCAGTATGTTTGAATTTGACTATTTAATATATGCAACATTTATTCTGCTTATTGAAACTAGATGTATAGGATATACCTAGGTAAATATTACAGAAAGGACTTCTTGTTTTCTCTTTACAATCAAGTGTACTATGATTAGATACAAAGTTGAGATTTCTCCAGCTAGATTACTTGATGTTAGGTATTTTGAACTCTCATGTTTCAAGTAGAGGAAAAGAATATGAAGAAATCAGATTTTGCTGAAGGTCACCCTTAGAATCAGTAATAAAATCCAGATGTATGAGTTACTAGTAGGTATTTTACCAGTATTTGTTTTAGATAATTTGATCAAAACACTATGTAATCTATCTGAAGATAGTAAATTTCAAGAAGTAAATTAATGTATTAATGACTGTTCTGAAAAAATACGTATTTTTTAACTTGTAAAATGTGCCACAGAAAAAAATGAAAGACAAAGATCCTCCCGAGTATCCTCTGAGTGGGGATAAAACGTCCACTAGAGGGCATTTCTTGATGGACACAGTTGTCAAGGCTGTACACAGTGGTCAAGGCTCATTCCCCAAAATGCTATGAATTCGTTTTATCAAATTGGGAGTAACTAACTAAAAAAATTTAATGTGAATTATTTTGATGCTTCAGGATTCACACAAATAAGATCAGAACCATCTTTCCATTTCAAAATTGACAGAATTTGAGAGGCTGTCCATTTCTGATAACTCTCCTTGCATGTGTACATTTTTTTAACCATTAAAACAAATTTGAAAGTAAAATTTTATTATACAAATTTAGAGATGAGAAAACTAAAGTCAAAAAATCTATGTGTAGTGTGCTCTTATTCACATGATTTCTATGTGGTTTCATGCCCAATGGCGTCTTTGCATAAAAAGTATACAGATAGATGTAACTAGGCTTATTTTTCTTATGTGTGTTATGCTGCTGTTTAGCTATATATGTTTCAGGTGTATGATATGATGTTTTAATATATATATACACATACTGAAACGATTACTAACGTATCCATCTGTGTACATAGTTACTCTTTTTGTTTGTATGTGTGATATAAGTGTCTGAAATCTACTGTTAGTAAATTTCTAATATTCAATACAATATTATTAACTATAATTCTCCTGCTATGCATTAGACCTCTAGACTTACTCACCCTACATAAGTGCCAGTTTGTATCCTCAGACCTACAGCTCCTCATTTCCCCTGCTCCCCATCCCTGCCTGGTAACCACCATTCTACTATCTGCCTGTATGAATTTGATTTTGTTACACTGCACATGTAAGTGAGATCATACAGCACTTATCATTCTGTGACTATATTATTCCAGTTAGCTTGATTCCCTCAAGGTTCATCATGTGGTCACATATTCTATAATGTTCTGCTTTTATATAGCAGAATAACATTCCATTCCATGGCTGTTGCATGGTTTTTGGTAGTTGTCTAACCGTCTTAGGTATTCCTTGCTGTGCAGAAGCATCATTCTTATTTCTGCCTTTATCTTCATATGGTGTTCTGTGTGTGTGTATGTGTATGTGTGTGTGCACCTTCATGTCCAAATTTCCTTTTTACATGAGAATACCAGTCACATTAGATTAGGGTTCCATTGTACTCTAGGATGGCCTCTTCTTAACTTACCTAGCTATATCTTCAATGACCTTACTTCCAAATAAAGGCACGCTTTGAAGCATTAGGGACCTTCAACATATGGGCTTTTTAGGGAAACATTTCAACCTACAACAGTCACTTTATGTTTTACTCTGTGGTTGGCACTAGAGTGGGCCCTCATAAATATAAATATAAGAGAGGAGCTGTTCTTGCTCTTTAGGATGCTATGTGGAGTCCAAGAAGAACAGAGAGTGATTAATTGGGAAGACGTTGCTTCAGACAAAAAAAAAAAAAAAAAAAAAAAATGGCTTTAGAGTGGAGAGTGACCTGATTTAGAACCAGTTCTGACAAAAAAACTTCATGTGACCTTGAACAATTTATTTTACCATTTTTTTGTTTTTTCACATATAAGATAAAATTCTTGAACTGGATCTGTCACTGCCCAGCAATAATACACATTGGACATGAATTTTGTAGAAACACTAGGTAGATGATGCCTAAACCATCTTTCAATTCTAAGAGGTTGTCTTATGCATCTGGAAGAGCCTGAGAATGCTTTTGTGTTATACGTTGAGCTTGACAACAAATACTGACCAACTTGGTGACATCCCCTCTTTCCTTACCTCCCTTCTTTTTCAATACATATGTTTCTCTGATATTGTATGTTTTTAGGACATAATTGCTCTAAACTAATGCCTCAAATTTTGAATCCTAATCTAAGACATATGAGGTGTGACTGATGCTTAGAAAATTATGTTGATAAATTATAAAAACATCATAAATCCAGGATTTATTATTGTTTTTTATTCTAGGACTATTGCATTCTAAAATTATTGTTCTTTCCTCTACTATATGATCAAGTCTTTACAGCTTTTGAAAAATTCATTCTTTCTAAATACTTTTTTCAATTGGATTTGGAGTGTTTTAAATTTTCCTTGAGCTTCATTTTTAATTTTTGTAATTTTAAAAAATATTTTCTAACAGGTGCATGAAACATAGTAAGATTTTGATATTCTTTATTCCTTCCTTGTGCTGCTAGGACAGGACAGTTTTCTCTTTGATATTTTTGGGAGAAAGAACAATTAGATTGTCATCATAAACTCTTGTTGTCAAAAGACAGTTTAATTCCATTGTCAAGTGCTGATATCTTTGGTGCTAACTGCTGAGCATTAAGAAGTTCTGTTCTCACTGCCAGAGGCTTACTCATGCTAAATTCTTGTCAGCCTCCCTAATCATAAGCCACTTAAATGAGGGGGAAAAAAAAAAACAGTGCTTCCAAATCTGAACCAAGTATGCTATATAAAGTTGGTGAACATGGTAAGGTAACAACACTTGCCAAAGAAATATTCTAACCAGCAGTGATATGGCACCCTGAGTAATGAGCTTAAGCAATCACCTAGACCTCGTGGTGTCATCCTGAAAGTAAAATGGAAACACATCTAAAGAAACAAAGAAATAACAACATCTAAA